CAAAAAATTCGTTGAAAATTTGCCATAATAGATATTTATGAAACTTCGTATTGGTATTTTAATAGATAACAGATGTCGCTACTAGAATAGGCCAACGTGAGAAATAAAACCAATCCGGATAAAAAATTACAGTAATGTTCCGAGAACCTTTTGACCACCCTATGTATATTCCATATATTCTCAATTAATCTATTCATATATTAAGTAATTCGTTTGTCAAATTTCTTTGCTTTCTTTTGGGAAAACGATGATAAAATATGGACGAACATTTATTGAATCATGGAGTATCGAGAAATAGCCTATCAGCTATTTTGGTCGCCTCGGTTTTCGATTTGAAATTCAGCCAATTACTATCATCCGTCCGTCGTGTGTACACTTTGACAAAACAAAGAGCATTGTTTTTTTATACACTGTCTCATCGTTTCACTCGGAACGCATTTTATTGGCAATAGAATGGTACAACAACATTTAAAACAATCAAAAAATGATTCCTGTAAAATTAAAATTAAAGAAGATGATGATGATGAGGTTAAAGTCATTCAAGAAAAAAAAATAATAAATATATATATTCATTAATTATTCTAGGACAAGGAGAACAAGATAACAAGGGCTTCTGGTAGCGATAGTAAGTTTCTACATACTTTTAAAAAAAATTTCTTTTCATTTTTTATGTATAGATTTAGCTGTTTATTTACAATTGAATGAAAAACGTCGAATGTTACATGAAGATCAGAATAATACAAGTGTCGGTGATAGTTTAGGAGATATGGATGAAGTAAAAATTGTAGAATTAACAAAAAAGATGTCAACAGAAAAAAAACTGGTCATGTCATTACAATAAAGCAAAATTTTGCTTTACCTTTTTAGGTATTCGCAAAAGTAAATGATTTCTCATTTAAAACTACGGCTTTGAGAGAAATGAAATCAAATACTATAAGCCAGAAATCTTCTTTTTATATCTAATATTCGATTATTTGTATTTCAGAATGGTTTATTTGAAATAACGGCAGCTACCGATGTAAGTATAAGATGAAGTGTCTGCCCTTGAATTAATATGATATTTATAGAATGAAAAACCATCATTATCATCGTCAGCACCCAAACCATCATCAATAAATGTTCCACAACGACAACACAAAAAAAATAATAAATTTTCGAATGATGCTCATCAAGAAACTGGCAAGATCTTCACTAACATTTTATCGTGTAAATTTGAAACTAAAATTAAACTGGATTTAATTTTCACTCGAATTCCAAACGGGACGCAAAGTACGAACAAATATGGTTCCTATAAAATTGAAATCTCCACAGTAAATGAATAATCGTTTTTTTAAGATTTATTATTAGATTCTTTGCTTTTGAAAAGACACACATTTTACTCGAACAATTTTGTTTCTTGTTTCGATAAATTGGAAAATTTCTCTCTGCATAGATCAGCCAACGACAGTTAAAATAATATACAAAATCAACCATTAATCAAATTTAGAACTACGAGAAGCTTATCGATGTTTGTCAACAGCTTGCTATAGGTGGATATCTTTGGATCGTTTTATTATCTGAATGATTCATTATCTATTTCTCTTTCGAAATCTTGTTCCATACTATTGGGATACAAAAAAACAGATATCTGAATAGTCGTTCTGGAATATTTTCATTATATGGTTGTCTCGGAACTGACTTCATATTTAATGAATTTGTTTATGTTTCCACCTCCAGTGGAATGTTTAAGAAAAACACTTCTATTTGATAGCTTTTCCGCATCTTTATCTATTACAGAAGATATTGATTCAAATACTGAATGTTATAAGTGTAGAAATTATTTTTTATAAAGGGATAAGTTTTTTATGGACCAACCTGTATATTGCCATTCATTTACGATGGAACACCTGCTCAAC